CTCCTCCAGGGCGGGGAGGATGACAACTTGAGGGGGAGGGGGAGGGGGAACAAGGAGGGAGCGGGATGAGGGGAAGGGAGATCATAAAGTTGAAGGAAGAGGATGAGAGGAGGAGGATGAGGAGGAGGAGGAGGAGGAGGAGGAGGAGGAGGAGGAGGGGGAGGAGGAGGAGGAGGAGGCGGAGGACCAGTGTACACCCAAGACGCATCAACGATGCTGCCACGCACCCTCCCTCTAAGTTTCCCCATTCAGAAATCTCTACAACACAGTATGTTAGTTGCGGGACTTGCCTCAGCGGAAAACAACGTTCTGATAATCCCCAATCGCACCAAAACGCCATTCCTGGGATTTCAGTGCCGCGACTCAGCATGAATGTTGCGTCCTGACAACCATTAATACTGCCAGAACACCAACCCTGGGACTTCAACGCCGCGAATCAACCTGTCTGTTGCATCCTGGCAATCCTAAATCGTACCACAGCGCCGTTCCTGGGACTTCAGCCATACGAACCCTTGAAACAATTGGAAGCGTTTGATACGAATGTTCGCGGCGCTTCGGCGAGAACCACACCATCACCATTACCACCACCGTTACCACCCTCCCCTCCCCCTCCCCCTCCCTTCCCCTCCCCGCCCGCCCGCCCTCCTCATGAAAGGCCGACCGCCCGCCCCCCCCCCCTGGCCGCAGACGAGCCGGGGCCCCAGCCGCGCGCTGCGCGGTGGCCGCGGTCCAGGCTGCGGCCGCTGCGGGTGCCAGGGAGAGGGCGGAGCGAGGGGGTCGTGAGTCGGCGGCGAGCGAGGGGGGTAAGTGGGCAGTAGAAGGCCTTTTCCGACGGCGGCGGTCGGGGATCTGCTGACCCGAATCAGTCCAGACCGGGCCAACCAGGCCTTGCGGAATCTTGCAAGATCCTGCAAGATCCTGCGCCCAAGCCCGGGTCAATGCGAAGGATCCTGCAACATCCTGCATGATCCTGCCCCCAAGCCCGGGTCAGTGCGCCCCTGGCCCTTCAGGCTCCTGCAAGATCCGGCGCCCTGGCTGACCCCCGTTTGCGTTGACCCCCGTCCCAAGGCTCCCGAATAGGACTTCTCAGGAACCCTCCGGCCTTCTGGAAAAGTTTTTGATGTCTTCGGGGCAGGCTGAAGACACTTCTCAGGAGGCCGGGGGGCTCCCGAGCCTTCTGAGAAGGCCCGCCCCTTCTCGCTGCCCCCCCTCGCCCGCCGACGGTATGATCTTTTCAGTCTGGGCGTCGTTCATGGACTTCGGCCCCTGGGGTTAGGTCGTGCAAGTCCGCGGATTTTGGACGAAACAAAATCCTAACAACCAGGGAATGTACCCCACCGTTTTAAGCATGTGGCGAGTACACATCGGATCGCGCAATACAAAAGCAATCATTGAATGATCCGCGATGCCCTTGAACGCTTCGCCAAAGAACGTCGGGCCAGAGTCAGATGTTTCACATATGCGGCGTCACTCTTAAGAGTCAGGTCGTTGGCAGGAGAGCGACCACGAGGGGGCGTGGAAACATGCAGAGGAGGGACGATTGGAGTCATAATTCGTGGGAGTAGCAGCGCCTTGCGCTGTGTTCGTATTGCAAGACAGCGCTCTGCATGGGTGCCGAACAATCTAAGAACGCAAGGCTGCCATTGGGAAGGTTATCCGCCCTTATCCGTCCACGGGGCGACTATAAGCAGGACTGGGATCACACCTGCCTATGCCTCATGTGTTCAGCCCTGTGCCTGACTGCCGCCGGGTATGTATGTATACACATCTATATATATACATATATATATATACACACCCGGCCGTCCATGCTTCACGGGACTAGTGGCGACAGTTTCACGGATCGCAGGCACCCAGGGGACGGCGAGCTATAATTGTGATCCGCCTAAGACGTCACTCCGCTGGCTCTCCCAAAAGCCAATCGCACCCCCCCAAGGGGCGTAATCCGCGTAAAGCGTCACTCCGCTTAAAGCCTCATTCCGCTGGCCCTCCCAGAAGCCCGCGACAACGGCGACAATTTAGCAGATCGCAACCACCCAAAGGCCGGCGAGGTCTGATCCGCGTAAGACGTCACTCCGCTGGCCCTCCCAAAAGCCCACGAAAGTGGCGACAATTTCGCAGATCGCCCCCCCCCCCCCCCGCCGACACCGGGGGACGGCGAGGTCTCGTGGTGATCCGCGTAAGACATCACTCTGCTGGCCCTCCCAGAAGGCGACGACGTGGCGACAGTTTCTGGATGGCAACCCCCCCAGGGTGCAACGAGGTCTCGTGGTGATCCGCGTAAGACGTCACTCCGCTGGCCCTCCCATAAACCCACGACAACGGCGACAGTTTCGCGGATCGCAGCCCCCCAGGTAACGGCGAGGTTTCGCGGTGATCCGCGTAAGACGTCACTCCGCTGGCCCTCCCATAAACCCACGACAACGGCGACAGTTTCGCGGATCGCAGCCCCCCAGGTAACGGCGAGGTTTCGCGGTGATCCGCGTAAGACGTCACTCCGCTGGCCCTCCCATAAACCCACGACAACGGCGACAGTTTCGCGGATCGCAGCCCCCCAGGTAACGGCGAGGTTTCGCGGTGATCCGCGTAAGACGTCACTCCGCTGGCCCTCCCATAAACCCACGACAACGGCGACAGTTTCGCGGATCGCAGCCCCCCAGGTAACGGCGAGGTTTCGCGGTGATCCGCGTAAGACGTTACTCCGCTGGCCCTCTCAGAAGCCCACGAAAGTGGCGACAATTTCGCAGATCGCAGCCACCCAGGGGACGGCGAAATCTCGTGGTGATCCGGATAAGACGTCGTCACTCTGCTGGCCCTCCCAGAAGCCCACGAAAGCGGCGGAAATTTCGCAGATCGCAACCACCCAAGGGCCAGCGAAGTCTCGCGGTGATCCGCGTAAGACGTTACTCCGCTGGACCTCTCAGAAGCCAACGGAAGTGGCGACAATTTCGCAGATCGCAGCCACCCAGGGGCTGGCGAGGTCTCGTGGTGATTTGCGTAAGACATCACTCTGCTGGCCCTCCCAGAAGGCGACGAACGTGGCGACAGTTTCTGGATGGCACCCCCCCCAGGGTGCAACGAGGTCTCGTGGTGATCCGCGTAAGACGTCACTGCCCTGGCCCTCCCAGAAGCCCACGAAGTGGCGACAATTTCGCAGATCGCAGCCACCCAGGGGCTGGCGAGGTCTCGCGGTGATCCGCGTAAGGCGTCACTCCGCTGGCCCTCCCAGAAGCCCATGAAAGTGGCGACAATTTCGCAGATCGCAGCCACCCAAGGGCTGGCGAGGTCTCGTGGTGATCCGCGTAAGACGTCACTCCGCTGGCCCTCCCATAAACCCACGACAACGGCGACAGTTTCGCGGATCGCAGCCCCCCAGGTAACGGCGAGGTTTCGCGGTGATCCGCGTAAGACGTTACTCCGCTGGCCCTCTCAGAAGCCCACGAAAGTGGCGACAATTTCGCAGATCGCAGCCACCCAGGGGACGGCGAAATCTCGTGGTGATCCGGATAAGACGTCGTCACTCTGCTGGCCCTCCCAGAAGCCCACGAAAGCGGCGGAAATTTCGCAGATCGCAACCACCCAAGGGCCAGCGAAGTCTCGCGGTGATCCGCGTAAGACGTTACTCCGCTGGCCCTCCCAGAAGCCAACGGAAGTGGCGACAATTTCGCAGATCGCAGCCACCCAGGGGCTGGCGAGGTCTCGTGGTGATTTGCGTAAGACGTCACTCCGCTGGCCCTCCCAGAAGCCGACGAACGTGGCGACAATTTCGCATGCCGCCGCCCCCCCAGGGTGCGGCGAGGTCTCGTGGTGATCCGCGTACGACGTCATTCCGCTGGCCTTCAAACTCGAAGTGGGCAACCGTAGGAGGAGGAGGAGGAGGAGGAGGAGGAGGAGGAGGAGGAGGAGGAGGAGGAGGAGGAGGAGGAGGGAGGAGGGAGGAGGAGGAGGAGGAGGAGGAGGAGAAGGAGGAGGAGGAGGAGGAGTTAAGGTACCCTGAAAGAGACGAGACGAGGGCAAGCGGGCACGACGCGAGACGAGGGCAAATGATGATCGTCCGCGGCGCCCGTCGCTAACTGTCTCACCTGTAAAGTAAAGTAATGCTTTGGCAGTCGGCTCGCTGCGGCCATCGCCGCAGGGCGGCAGCTCGGGTCAGTGTGATGCTCCATTTTGTTATAAGTGTGGAGCGCTAGCGTAATGCGCTCAATCGTCGAGCGCAACGAAAGCGGATCCTGACTGTCGGGCGGGTACGCAGCTGCAGGCCCGAGGCCCCAGGCAGCGAGCGTCGGAAGGAGGAGGGGAGTATCAGGGGACCAGAGGAGGCTCGAAAGCGAGGGGCAGGTGAGGTAGTGGGGAAATGAATCTGGCTGACTCCCGCACCCGAAAACGCATTGTTTTGGGGCGAGCCACGTGCGTGCGTCCAGTGGTGGTCCAGCCACCGCTTGGTGTCTTAAAGGTGACCCATCGCCAACTGGGGCGCACCGTTTTGAGTGATTCCGTGAGGTCTGCCCGGCGCTTCTTGGCGCTGTCCTGGCTCCGACGGCGCCCGGAGGCCCCCCTGCCGTGCAGGGGCCGGCGAGGTCTCGCGGTGATCCGCGCAAGGCGCCGCTCCGCTGGCCCTCCCAGAAGCCCACGAGCGTGGCGACAGACTCGCAGATCGCAGCCACCCAGGGACGGTTGGGAATAGTCCACGAGGCAGGGAGGAGGAGGAAGACAACGAGGAGGAGGAAGGAGGGAGGGAGGAAGGAGGGGGGACGGGTGAATGAGTGATGGAGACCACGGTGCTCTTTTCAAAACGAGAACCCAACCATGGGAGGGTCGGGAAGCAGATTCCCAAACAGTCAAACACAGTAACAAAAATCCCCCCGACTATTTTTTGACTGTTTTTGAATGTTCCTCCTGTAGGGGGACATGCCCGACTTAACCCTAGGGCCCGTCAGCGGGCCCTGGGGGGCCATCAGGCATGGCTCCCGGGCGAAGACACAGGTCCCCGGAAAAAGCGG